ATGTCCTACATCCCTTGCCCAATGAATCATAGCAGATTTTACCAAGTCATCATTTGTTTCCCATTCTAACAAACTCTTATGCATCCTAGAAATTAATTTTCCTCTATTTTCTACTGGTTCCCTTTCAGATCTGGAACTTTGGTCCATAAATCCACACTGCTTATCTTACTTAAACACTTCGTTCAGTAGGCGGGTAATGTAGCCAGTCCGTCACCTGGTTTCTGATGTCTTCTAGTTTCTTCAATTTTACCTCTTGATCTAAAATGTCCAAAAGGTCTCTGTATGTTGTCCACTGTTGACCCATATTCAGTCTTTTCAGTGAGATTGCTTCCATAGGCAAGAGCCATAAGGGTGTTTTCCTTTCTAGCAGATTTTTATGTGTCCTCCATACCCTATATAAATTCTTCCTAATTGCATGGTTCAAAAAGTTCTTATAAATTTTAGCTTTACCATACCAAAAGCATGCATGCCAACCAAATTTAATATTGTACCCCTCCAAATTTAACTGAATATTGTTCAACAGTATCCAAGCTTTTAACCAACATAAACAAGCAGTGTCATAATATAAAGTAAGTTTGACAGCGAGAACCCACCTCTTTCTTTAGCTTCTATCAGAATTTTATACTTTATTCTCAGTTTCTTCCCCTGCTAGACAAATCTAGAAATTTCCCTTTGCCATTCTTTGAAGCAGCCTGTATTATTAATTACTAGAGCAGTTTGAGATAAAAGTAGCACTTAAGCTAAAGCGTTCATTTTTATGGATGATTTCTTCACAAGTTGGTACTTTTTCTTGGCTTCCCAGCCTTCTATAAATCACACTCCTGAGGCTCCTTTATTAGTATGACAGACCAGGGGATCACCACACCCCTCCTGACTGGTTTGGATTAGTTGTCTCCAGAAGATCTATCCCCTTCCTGCTGAACTGAAACCTAAGTGGAGTATTCCCTCACAACTCCACTTTTCCTTTCTCAAATTCAGCTTCCCAGTTCTCATTTGTCTGTATACTTCACTGTCTTTAAATCTGACACTCAGTTCAAAGACTCCTTTCTCTGGCTGTAGATCTTTCCCTCAGGGTGGATGTTACACAAACAGCCAAAAGGCTATCCACCTATCCAGCTGAGCGCCAAGAATACCAACTCTCGATTCCTTTTTCTTTTTCCCTCCCAAAGTGCTGAACCCACCCTCCTCAGGCTAGCTGTACCTGCAGCCAACCAGAGAGAATCTCCAGCCCAGCAGTGGCATTGCATCTCCATGCTCCAGTCTACCTCAGCTTTCCATAGGAAGTAGCTACTGCCTTTTGCATCAACAGGTGCTGATCAATTCTCATGGTTCACAGGCTGCCTTCAGAGTGAAGTGAGGAAGTTCTTAAAAGCCATTATCATTCTTTTGTAGCTGGAGTTGAATGGAGTAGAGCTGGAGAAAGGAACAGACGCTGAAGCAGACCCTGAGTTTCTCTCAGAAATCATGGAAATTAACGAGAAACTGTCAGATGCAAACAATGATGCTAAAATAGAAGAGATGGAAAACTTCATTGCAGGTAAGATGGAGAATTGTGCCTGAAGAGGTGTCTATGCTGTCTTCAGTGGGGTGAGGGGTGGGAATCTATCAAGGAGTGAAAGCACAGTAATGAAAACCTCCACAGAACAACATGAAGCAGTATTTAGAATTATAAAGCCACCTCAAAGGTCACCCTGTTGATGAAAAAAACACACAACTCCTGTCTCTCTGCTTCAAATCCTAACAAATGAGTTTTTTTGAATTTAGGTTCCCCCTGTGGGTTTTCATTTGCATCTTAACTCTTTCTTCCTTTCCTCAGTTTAAGTGTCCACTCACAGAAGCTGCTGCTATTACTTCTGGGCAGGCCGCTTGGGCACAACAGATGCTATATCTGTCATTTCCCCACACCCTCTTGATAGGATTGAGAGTTTCTGAGGGTTGGGAGTGTAGATTGGGGAAAGTTCCTGATCTTGACGTTCAATACAGCTGTGTGAGGATGCATTAGCTGATCTTCATTGAAGTGAAAAAACGGATCAGTACATAACTATGGGCATCATTAATGCAAAGCCTTGTTCTTAACCACTCAGTGTGCAATCCAGTGCATCTGAACTCTGAAGTCAGTCCCATTCAGTTACATTCTAGTTTTGAGTGTCCATGTCTAAATAATTCTAGCCAGCTGTGTTGAAGGAGCACAATAAAGGTAAAGGGACCCCTGACCTTTAGGTCCAGTCGTGACCCGACTCTGGGGTTACGGCACTCATCTCGCTTTATTGGCCGAGGGAGCCGGCGTACAGCTTCCGGGTCATGTGGCCAGCATGACTAAGCCGCTTCTGGCGAACCAGAGCAGCGCATGGAAACGCCCTTTACCTTCCCACCAGAGCGGTACCTATTTATCTACTTGCACTTTTTGTGCTTTCGAACTGCTAGGTGGGCAGGAGCAGGGACCAAGCAATGGGAGCTCACCCCATCGTGGGGATTCGAACCGCCGACCTTCTGATCAGCAAGTCCTAGGCTCTGTGGTTTAACCCACAGCGCCACCCGCGTCCCTAAGAAGCACAATGCCAGTACCCAATTCTATGCAGAAACTACAGCAAGGGGCTTACGGTGTCATTTCTAGAAAGACCAAAAGCTCAGATTTGCAATATATTTTCCACTGGAGCCCAAGCAATTTCCCCTTTGTCAAGGGCAAGTACAACAAGGAAGAACTGAAGGGGTGGTGGTTGTGCTGTGCTTGACATGGAGTGAGCTCATCACAGATCAGATGAATCAGAGAGCACTTTCTCATTTCTAGAGACATTTTGGGAAAATCCCTTTGTGGGTGTGGCTAGACTTTCAATAAGACATCTGCTGCTTCCTGACTCAATAGAGCATTCTTCCAAGCCAACATGGTTCATAGGTGGGCATGATGGGAATTACAATCCAGAACGGTAAGGACAATGGGCCCGGAAGGCTGCTTTTAACATTTGCCCTCCTAAGGACAGTATCCATGGTCATGACATCTCATGAACAGGGTGAAGGCACATGTAGATAACAGCTTTGTCTTAAATGAAATCAATGCCCTCTTCTTTCCCTTCCAGCTAAACAAGAGGAGCTGATTAAGGATGTGAGCAGAGCGTTTGAACATGGTAGGAGTATTTCCTTCCTACTTTCTTTGGGGTGTGACCTGCTTGCAAATGATCTCTTGTGCTCCCAGCTGCACGTGGCACGTGCCATCCACATGGCTTACAGGGCTGAGTGCTCATCAAAAGCCATTCTGGATTGTAAGGACTTGCTTAAAGCCTACCTTTCAAGGAAAGCTGAGCTGTTCAGAAATAGAATGCATTTACTGGTTTTATTGAGGCTCATTTCTCTACAGACATTGATCTTAAGGCACACAATGGTTAGTCCTGTTAGGAGATATTAGTACTGAGTTCTGCAGGATGGCCCAGCAGCAGAGCAGCCTACTTTCTTGAAGTCACTTGACTGACATATTGCAAAAACCTGCTGTTCTTTGGGTTCCTGAATGCCAGGAGTGTGCTGATTCTGATGGTGTAGCCATTTCTCAGTGCTGGGAGCAAAGTTCCCACTGGAGTACAAATTTGCTCTTTCTTTGTTTAATTGCAGATGATCTTCAAGAAGCCAAAAAATATCTAGCCAAAATGAAATATTTTGCAAACCTAGAAGAAAAGCTGAAGAAGAAGAAAATCCCATCCTGACTTCACAGTATTTCCTAGGATGAGTGGTTCCCATCTGAATGTTTGATAGGCAACTCAAAGCAATGAGGCCACGGTGCAGTGCATTCTTTGGCATGACATGGAAGAGAATGGGCATGATACCTGCTCCTCAACCTGTGGAAAACATCTCACTGCTCCATTGTCAAGATGCTCTCCGATAAACACTTGAGTGCAGAGACCCTGCTTTGGATGAGGCCATACTTAGGAACTGCCTAATTTAGCCCTGCTTATGTCTGGAAAATACATGTTATGCGTTGTTTTGAGCTCCCAAGCTTATAAATCAAAATAAATATGTGGCCTCTGGATACACTTCAGTTTAGAATTTTAAAGAAATGAGGTTAGGCTAGATGGTGACATGCTGTCTTGATTTGGTGAGGGCTGAGTTGGTCTAAGACTGTTCTGTGAGATGCAGCACAGGGAAAGACAGGGAGTGATACAAACTAGGTGAGGCTTGTAGAAGTTGTGAGGAAACCAGATCTTCTGGCACTTAAGCAACTTACTGTTTAGCATGTCCAGTTCTGAATGTTTCCTGCAGGGGGGGGGGACACTCCAACTTGCATGGCTCAAGGGAGCCCCAACACCTGAAGAGTCGAAGGTTCCTCATTCCAGTTTAGTGCAAAGTGGAGCTCTAGAAGGACTCTTATGAGCAACAGGTACACAGTCCACTAAGAAGAGCCTTGCAGCTGGACCATTGCTGGTGGAGACCCATTGACTTCTGCATCCTTTTCCCTGTAGTGGCCAGCCAGATCTGCCCCCACCCCCCTTGACAGCCCACCAGCAGGGAGGGGCATGAAAACAATGGCCCTTCTCTGGCAACTAATGCCTCATCTTCCCTCAGTGTGTCTAATCCCTTTTTAAAACCTATGCACTGTTGCATAAGTAGCAGGGTGGAACTGTACAGGGCAGAGACTGATGTAGAATTCTTCTTTCCCTTTGCAATCCTTTCCCCCCAAGGTTTGTAGGTTATCATCCATAGTTTATGAAGTACCTTGCATACATGTTTCAAGGGACTTTATAACAGTACAAAATAAACAACTAAAGGTAGTTTTTTAAAAGTACCAGAAAGGTTACATTGAAGGGGGTGTAAAGGGTGAGGTCTCTGTTTATATTTCCCTGGGCACCATTCCTTTCCCCCCCCTCCAAATACTCCGTCACAAAAGATGCCCACTGGGTATCTCAGCCCCAGAGATGCTTTCCTTGCTGAGCTGGTCACCTTTCATTTGGCTGTCCTACCTTGATTTTGCCAGGCTGCATCTCACAGCTTTGTGGCTCAGCAGTAAAGACAGTCACTTAGATGAACAGCTGACTTTATTGAACTGAGTCCTTGTACAGGATACAAAATGTGTTTAAGGAGGGACAGGGTGAGGGGGAGAACAAAGTCCTGGCAGCAAGAACAGCCTACTTCTCTGTAGCCAGGGGGGTGGTTGCTAGTGTTGGGGAGAAACGGTTGGCCTGCTGGCAGAGTCGGTTGGTATGAGTGTTCCCTGGTGCAGCTGGCAGGGTCCTGCACCTCACAGCTGTGTCCCACCCTTTAGAACTCATTGCTAAGATGTTGTCTCTCGCACAGTTCTCCCTCTTGTTCCTTGCTTCTACCAAAGTTGAGCTTGTGGAACTCTCTCTTAATTTCCAGGAAGGTTTTGTTCTTTGTCTCAGGAATAACAAAGGAGATGAAAATGACAACCAAGCAGCATTCTAGCAAAAACACAATGAAGCAGTACTGCTTGAGGCCTTTCTGGAAGAAGAAAAAAGAAAGCATGTCACGTGGGGGGTGGGACACCTTCTGTGCCCCTCCAGGCACTGCTGGATGGCTCAGCCTTCTCCATGAATTTCTCTCTCAATGGCTACAAGTTACCTCCATCATCACTAGTGGGAAGAGCGCCGTTGTATTTGGGCCCTGCTTGCAGCCTTCCCCAGAGAGGCCGCATCTGGCCAGCGGCTGTGAGAGCAGGATGCTGTGCTAGGGTGGCTCCTTTGGCCTGATCCAGCATGCCTCAGAAGGAGATCCTGGACCATGAGCAACACCCCAACCCCCACCTGGAGTGGCTTTATCTGCTTAAGCTGGTCATTTGAATTCTTGCATCCACTATCACTGGCTAGAAATCTCTCCTGCTTAGTGAACTTGGAATCATTGCACATCTTAGAAATTCTAGGAATTTGAATTAGATGCATTTTTCCCTTTTCATTTTTTGGGGAGGCAAGTTCTAAATCGAGGTCATTAAAGGCTTAGAAAACATGAACTAAATGCATTTCTGGGCTGAACAGGCTGTTTTACTGGCAGCTGTTTCTGCTCATTCATGTACTTCTCAGCTCCCTTCGCAGGGGGTTGCTTCTAAAGGTATTCAGAGCTGGAAAGGAATTAGTGAAGATTTGTCCCTCGTGCATGAGGCACCTCCCTGATTCAAGGGCAGCTCATCATACAGAATTGCCTCCAGTTGCACTAAGAGGTGAACCGTCTTTCTCAGGCTTTACTGAAAAGGGGCAGCCCCAGGGGTGCTGCTGAGAGAGCCCAGCCAGGCTTTGGTGCTGTCTCATCAGAGGCCAGCTTCAGTTCATTTTGCATTGATGTCAGGCGGTGGGGATGATGATGATGATGACGATAGAGAAGGGTCTCTCTGGGGTTCCCTCTATTTTATATCAACATTTATGAGCCCCTTTTTTGATGTGAAAGTGGACAGAAGCCCAGCTAGGAATATAATAATAAAAACAACAAATGTCAAATGCAAAAACCAGGGCAATGGGCACAGCAGCGCCATCTCCTGATGAGGCCCCCTGAGTGGTGTCTTGCAGGAGAGGTTGGGTGGCTACAAACTGCCAGTTTACCTACCACAATGAAGGGGAAGAGCATCCCGATAGTGAAGAAGCTGAGCCAGCTGACCGAGCCTGCAATCATGTAAGCAGCTGGGCGCGAAGACTGGGTGAATAATTCTGTGGTCAAAGTGTTCGTCACCCCACCTGCAAACCAATTTTCAAAAAAGGTGGTGCTATGCTGGGGGAGTATTTCAATAAACAGAAAATGAAACAATTTCCCTTCCTAGATAAGGAAGCTGCTTGCATGTCTTTGAGGGGGAGGCTAGCAGCTAGGTTTTGTTGGAATCTGGCTACAGAGCCATATGCTAAGAACAAACGGACAGTTGTGGCAACTCCCTCTTCTTTTAAAGCATGGCAACTATTGTCATCCTTGGGTCTATGGAGGGAAGGAACGTCAGTACAGAATAGTAGTATCTGATGCCCATAAAATGGAGAGAATGCACCTAATAACAGCTCCACCTCTTGACCTAGGATGCTTCCCATCCCCTTCATGCCTGCCCTGAGCTTCTGGGAGGATCCAATGGTGCTTAATCTTGAGGAACAGTTGATGGGAAACGCAAGTGGGAGAGGGTTGTTGTCCTCGTGTCCTGCTTAGGGCTTCCCGGAAGAGGCAGCTAGCTGGCCACCATGGGAACAGGAGGCTTTGTCCAGCAACCTGGTTCTTCTTGGGGACTTAGGATGCCTCCATGCATTTCCTGCACTTGCCCTCAGCAGGTGGGCTGTTTCAGTGCCTTCAAGCAGCCTGCTTAGCTTTTGCAGCATCCTGTTGGTAGCCCCGCTCTGCCTGTTGGTAAAACCCTGTGGCTCCAAAAGTCCCCAACTTAAAATCCAACAACTGGTAGTTGAGGGCACACGCAGTGGCTGCCCCAAATTCATCACTGGGAAGAGGTACCTGGTCCAAGCCCAAAACTCAAGATGAAGGCAAATATGCAGGCCATGCTCAGGTAGGGTGCCCACGAGTACACCTGGGGAAGAGAGAGCACATGGGAAGGCTTGGCACTGGCTGCAGCCACCATGCCCCTCCCTCATGTAACCACCCTGAAGGGGATCAGGGCCAAGCCGGGGGTGGGAATCCAATAGCAGAGGGGCCAAGGGCAGCGTGCTGTCTCTCCTGGCTTCCCTCCTGCTGCGCAGAAGACTCATGAGACCTGCTGGCCTTCAGTGACTCCTCTCATGGTGCCTTGCTCATCAAGATTCAGCACCCATGCACACCACATGAGCAGGCATCATGTTGAAAAGCTGCATTGCAGCTGGGCCACATGTGTTCTGAACAAGACTACCCAGCCTACCTGGTACGTCAGGGAAAAAGTCAGCACTATGCACCACAAGGTCATCAGGGAGTAGCCTCCCAGGATCAGGACCCTTCTCCCCATAGACTCAATGAGCAAGCCCTGCGAAAAGAAGAGAAAAGCATTCACTCACTCAGCAGTAAGCAGGATTCTCTTTCTTGCCTCAGAAATTCAGATGGGCGCAATTGGAACACTCATCACTTACGCAGGTGAGGGCAGTGAGGCACTCGCAAGCCCCAGTGCCAAGGGTCACGTAAGGAATGTTTTCTCGGGGGATCCCAGCTTCCTCAAATACATAACTTGCATAGAAGTAAATCTGTGAGTAAATACCAAAAACATAATGCATGGGAGGCAAATCACCAGGCAAAGCAGGCACAGCCCAGGCAACGTGGCCTGTGCAGAGTTAATTTGGGTAGGTACCGGTATCTTACCTGGCTAAGAAAATAAAAGAAACTGCTTCATGTTACCACCTTCTAAAAACTGAGGTGCATAACTTGCCCACTATGGGGGCCTGGAAGCTCTGCATTCTTCCCTGGGAGGGTTGCCCTCCAATCTTCGCAGGAAAGTGAGCTGGCTGTGAAAAGGGCTGGTCGAGTGCCACCAGCCATGCCCTCACTGCTGAAGTCCAGTGCAAGGGAGAGCACATGGAGGGGAACAGTGTGGGGGGTGGGGAGGGCCTGGCTGACATTAGCTTTGCTCTTCATAGACAACTGGACCAGGCAAAGTTCAGTTTAAGAAGCAGATCAGCCAGCCAGCTTGGGTATGTAAAATGGAAAGCTGGACTTGGACATGAAACTGGCAGATAAACAACCCCACTCTGGTTCTGACAGTTGCTTCGGAACAAAGGATGGGTTGGAGTTTCTCTCATAGTGAGTGACATTCAGACACTTCCCTGTCACCCCAGTTCCTAAAAAGGCTGACATTTTGCCCCCTTCCCAGTCCACCTTTGAGCCCAATGCACATTTCCCTGTTTGTGCTAACAATGGGAATAAATGTCCTTTCACATGTGTGCCCTTTGTTTGGACACATCTACACTGAGCCAGCTCCGCACCACCTTCAGTCTCTCAGCTCCCAACCAAGGAATCCTGGGAACTGTAGTTCTATCAGAGAACAGAGCACCTAACCCGGGGTCAGCAACCTTTTTCAGCCGTGGGCCGGTCCACCATCCCTCAGACCATGTGGTGGGCCAGACTATATTTTGGGGGGGGGGAATAAAAATGAACGAATTCCTATGCCCCACAAATAACCCAGAGATGCATTTTAAATAAAAGCATCTACTCATGTAAAAACGCGACAATTCCTGGACCATCCACAAGCCAGACTGAGAAGGCGATTGGGCCGCATCCGGCCCATGGACCTTAGGTTGCCTACCCCTGACCTAACCATACTCAGCATTTCCTCAAGGTGACAGCTGCCAGGAATCTCTTAGAGAAGTCCCAGCAGCTAAGCCATTTCCAAGTTGGCTGATGTTTGCTTGGAGTGTCAGTGCATGACCTTGCATGGCAGGGGGGAAACTAGGCAGCAGGCAAATGAGCGATGCCCAATGGAGAGCTGCTCTTCTCCTGAGTGGGGAGTGGCTCAGTCCTGGTACTCACCGCATTGATCCCGCTGAGCTGCTGGCCCATTGTCAAGAGGATGATGGTGATGAGCTGCCATCGGATGCTGCGGTCAGTGAAGAGTTGCCAGGGTTTCTTGGCTGCCTCACCACCAAGCGCAAAGCGCTCCTTCTGGATATCCTCCATTTCTGCCTGGTAGTTCAAAGGGCCATGGAACCGTTTCATTGCTGGGAAGGATAGAGGAGAGCTTTTAGGGCCCAGGTGGGCCTTTGAGCGCAGGAGATCTTCGTGAGGCTGCCAAGAGCTGCTGCAGCTCGAGAGAGAGACAGGCAAGGGGCCTTGTAGTTTGGATATAGAAACCACCCTCCCAGCCACCCAATGGGAGAGGAGTCGGGCTGGCTACTTCACAGGTGCACCTGGACTGGGCACAAACTGGCTTGCCCAAGGCCCCACACCAAGTCCTTGGACACACAACTCTTTGGAGCAGAGGGAAACAACCAGCAGTGGCTTGTGGGGTGTGAAACACAGAGTAGTCAAATGCAACATTCCTAGAGTGGACATAAAAAGGGGGTGTCTGGGCCAGCCAGTCAGAACTTCCTGTTTCCTCCTGGGCTGGGACAAACTTCCTCTACATGTGACCAGAGGTGGGCGTGACCTCACCTGTGCAGGTAACAAAATAGCACAGGGGAGGCACCCATCTCTCTCTCTGACTCCATTCCTCGAAGAAGCAACATCTCTATCTCCTTATGGGATAGATTCCACATGTATATATTTTGTAACCTAAGTCTGCCTTCTGGGAAACTTCTGTGAACAGAATGTGAGTAAACTATTTTATATACTTTTATACAAGACTGTGTCGTGTCTATTCTTTTAAGAGGGAATAAAGGGGAATTCCCAGGAAACTTATTTTAGAGGCTTATGCAAGCCTGGCAAAGACGTTATCCGCTGTGCAATTTTTAAAAGGGGGAATGTTACTCTGCTAAATTATAGAACTTGTTAACACAAGTTGGGAAGGATATAATTAAACAATATATCCTCTCCTTCCTCCCTGAACATTCCCACGTGGCTAAAAGCCTCTCTGGGGAGGTAAGTAACCTTTTGGGGAGCAGGGCGTCTGGGGCTGAGAGCGAGGGGGTGGGGGAAGCAAGGAGCAGTGGATGCTGAAGGGCAGACTTCACCTTTGATGCATTTCATCTCATCCCCTTGGTCAATGAAGAGAAACCGGGGACTTTCTGGAAACCAGGGTAGGGTCAAGAGTTGGATGAAGGCTGGGAAGCAGCTGCTTGAGAGCAGGAAATGCCAGTAGGCCTCTCCGCCAAGTAACTCCCTGCAGGAAGAACAGACAATGCTGAGACAAGGGGCTACCAGCTCCATTCTGATCCTGGGACAACAAGCCAGGCCTGAGCTGAGCAGCCCCCTCTGGGTGATGAGGGCCCCGGCACTCACCTTAAGCCAATAACCTGTCCTGTTAGAATCCCCCCTGTCAGGAAGATGGAGCTGCCCATGACCATAGCGCCTCGCAGGTGCTTAGGGGCAGCCTCGCCTATGTAGAGAGGCTGCACACAGAGGCCGATGCCTGGAAATGGAAGAGGAAATCAGTGGCCTCCCTTCTTCATTGCAGGATCCACACACAGGGGACCCTCAGGGGCTGCAGGTGGCCTTTCATTATAGGTTGCTAGTGGTGTCACAGGGTGTTCAGCCTCAACAACACCACCAGGAAAAGAAAGCAAAGGTTCACAAAATAAAGCTACATAAAGGCCCTTTGCAGTAGGATGTGCCCACACAAAGTAAGACCACTAACTGATCATTGATGAAGTCACAGGTGCACAAACATATCCCACATGCGCCCTTAATGCCCCTGAAATCCCACCAGGTGAATTTTCCCAGGTGCAAAGTTGAGTGTTACCTGTGTTCATACCAATCAGAAATCTCCCAACAATCAGCAATTCATACAATCCGGCTGGAAAGCTAATTCCCATGAGGATGGCGGCCAGGATGGCAATAAAGTTGTTCATTAAAAGAGCTCCTTTCCTGCAAAGGAGGAGGGTAACAGGATTGCACCCTTGAGGGACAGAGAATTTTTTGTCACAGACCCTGACGGGCTCCTGGACAAAGTTGGCACAGCGTTCAAGGTCCTCCAAGAGAAACAGGCAAATTTAAACATCTTAGATAAGCTGGTTGGAATCCACAAGGGCCTCTTTCCCACTAAGCCACACAATGGAAAGTCACCCCTCTGGAGACTCCTCGCCTCGCCCCCAACACTCCTATTTTTGCTGATAGGGTTGTGCTTGGCTTTGAGTGCTGGAAGATGAGCTGAAAGACCCACTCAGTCAATGTCCTGGTTATTCTTGGGCAAGTCTCACTCTTTCAGCCCAGCCTCACAGGGTTGTTATGCAGGGGAAATTAAGTTGGGGACTGCGTACGTGGCCTCACTTCTTTCGGATTAAGCAATGCAAAAAAATAAAGAAAGCAATACAACCATTTTTCTTCTTATGATAAGAAGCATCCTGCAGAAGAGTGAAGCTTCTTCTGCAGAAGCCAGAAGCGTGTGCTCTTCCATCTTGCTCACCTGCCCAGGCGGATGGCCAGGCTGCCTCCAAGGTGAGCCCCAAAGAGCCCTCCCAGGGAGAAAATGGAAGCAATGGTGGACCAGAGGAGGGTCAGCATGCTGGAACTGAGCTCTGCCTGGTAACGCCTCTGCCAGGTCTCATTGAGGAACTTGTGGATGTGCTGGAAGGACAAAGTGGAGAGATCATTTAGCGCTGCTGCTGCTGCTGCTGCTGCTGCTGCTGCTGCTAACGGCCAACTCCTCTTGTCCAGGGGCAGCAAGCCCTTCTGCCTCTTTGCCTTGAGACCCAAACCCAGCGCATAGTGGCTGGATGGCCTGATCCCAGGCAGGAATTAATTGTGCCAGGAAAGTGGGACCTCGTGGGTGAGCAGCATCCCCTTTACACAGCCATCTCCTTGCAGCCTGACATGGAGTTATCCAGGGCTTGGCCCATCTAATCCAAAGCCTCCCACCTTGACCAGAAGCATCTCTTTCCTTGCCCAGCTACACAACAGCCTTTTTGTAGCAAATGCCACAGGAGAGAGAGAGCAAGCCAGGGCCTGGTGAATGCAGAGTTTACTTGAGGGGTTGCTCCCCCCCCCAGGTGCCTCTCGGCAATTTAGTCCATGGATCTTGAACTCTTACAAGGACCATATGATGTTCACCTCACATTTGTGAGGAACTGGTACCTGTGCTTTGAGGCTCCTTGTGTCTTCATATGAGGCAAACACCCAGCTAAAAAATTGCTCAAGCAAACCTGGCAAGACTAGTTGTGTTCACTTGTTTTTAAATTTTGCTTATTTTGTTTGTATATTGATAATTGCTTGTATTGTTTTCATGTATACTGCTTAGGCTTTTAAAAAGTAGTTTATAAATTCTTCTAAATAAATTGGCAGGTGCTCAGGGGTTTTGTGGTCCTCGCCCCCTCCCACCCTCTAACTTATGGACTTGGGCAGGCTGTGGGACATCTTGTTAGTTTGAAAAGGAGATTTACAGTGTGAGGTAGAAACCTTGCAGGGGGGTGTACCCTAACAGCAAGAAGCAGGAAGTAGCAGCAGGTGTCAGGACATGGTAATGCTTACATTTGTTGGTGAACAACTTGGCAGAGCCTCTAGGACTTGCTAGGGCAATCACACCCAGTGCTCCATTCACTGAGCCACTGCCACTCTTCAAGGCTGTGGGCACCTTGCCTCTGCCCCTCTCTATGCAGAGAGAGGTGGCTCTGTTACCATGGCAACAGCTGCCTAACCCTCTTATTGAAGGACAGTCATATTCCCATTGCCAGGCCACCATGAAACCAGAGAGGCTGGTGAGAGGGAAAGTGGGGAGATGTGGGGCTTGGCTTTCCCAGATTCACAGGGCCAGCAGGGGCCCCCCGGTGCCGATTCCTGACCATGTCCCCAACTGTGCTCCCCTCCCCCCGCCACTGCCACTACACACAGGCCCTGGTTGCCCTCTAAGAGATGCTTCATTGTCTCACTCAAGAGTCTGGCAGGGGGGCATCCCTCTTTCTGAATGCTGGGTCATGGTGAGGCGAAGGGCAGGCCACTTTCTCTTCAACAGACCAAAATATACCGGCATCCTCTGAACTCTGCTATCCGTGCAGCCCCAGGCTCTCAGTCCATGAGACATCAGCCTGTTTGTCTCACTCTTTTTTCGGTCTCGTGCTTTTATCTCTCCATGGTTACTTTGTTTTAATTATTTTTAAAATGCATGAAATGTTTTGGTAAATCAAGATTGCACTCTTTAATCAGAAAGGGAATCAGCTGATGATGGGCGAGGGCAGCCGCCTGCCTCCCTCCAGACTTGCTCAGTTTTACGATCTATAGCCTTACTGTCGATTTATGACAGCACAATGGAGCCATCACCAGCTCTTGGCCAGTCTCCCATCCTCAGGGGCAATTGGGGCGAGGCAGGACTGGAAGGAGGAGATTCTTCTGGTTGGCCCTTGTGGCCTCCTGCCCAATGATGGCAGCCAAAGTAGCCCTGAGGGAAGGGAGCGGGACAAAGCCCCCCTGTATCTGGGGAGGGCAAGTGGCCCCCGTTCCTTGACACAAATCTGGGGTGGAGTGTTCACTTAGTTTGGACTGCATGAGTCATCTGCATGATGCAGATATTTGAACGATGGTGCGTCCTGCCGACAACCTGACAGCTTTTTATTTATCCTCATGGCTTGATAAGAAGTGTTTCTGGAGAAGAGGATTACGAAAGCAACAGGCAACTTTGCTCCAAGCCTTTGATAGGTCAGAGAATAGTGTAGAGTAACCCTCCCATCTCCAGCAATAGAAAAGAGATAAAAACAGCATCTCACCTCGGTGGGTGCATTGATGACTGAAACATTGTACCCATATTGAAAGGTGCCTCCGATTCCTGCCGCACAAACAGCCAAAAGGAGCGTCCAAGTCGGGAGCTAGAGAAAGAAGCCAGAGACCCTCATGGTCCAGAGAGTCATGCTACTTGGAACAGACTGGAGCCTTCCCCCACAACCTCTCATCCCAACAGCCTTCCTTCAGAGAATGGGATCTCTCACTTTTGCAGATTATAACTGACATCTAAGCAGCCTTTGCCAAGCTCTGCAGATGTTATGGATTAGCAGTCCTATCAGCCCCAGCCAACCAACATGGCTGTATGATGCTGAGGCGGATGACAGTGGCAGTCCAAAATATCTGGAGGGCAACAGGTTGGGGAAGGCTTCCCTCAGGCCCAGGGGGCAGGCATTTTATGCCACCCTCCTCTCCAGCAGAGAGGCTGCCGCAGAGGTGGGCTGATGCTGGACTACCTGTAACACCCACAGTTCTGAACTAAGGGAGAAGCGGATTTGTACTCACACTGGAGTCAAGCATAATAAATGTGAACAGATGGTTTATAAACTGAATCAAGCAATTAATTAAGAAGCATTACCAATGAATTGGGACGCGGGTGGCGCTGTGGGTAAAAGCCTCAGTGCCTAGGGCTTGCCGATCGAAAGGTCGGCGGTTCGAATCCCCGTGGTGGGGTGCACTCCCGTTGTTCGGTCCCAGCGCCTGCCAACCTAGCAGTTCGAAAGCACCCCCGGGTGCAAGTAGATAAATAGGGACCGCTTACTAGCGGGAAGGTAAACGGTGTTCCGTGTGCGGCTCTGGCTCGCCAGAGCAGCGATGTCACACTGGCCACGTGACCCGGAAGTGTCTCCGGACAGCACTGGCCCCCGGCCTCTTGAGTGAGATGGGCGCACAACCCTAGAGTCTGTCAAGACTGGCCCGTACGGGCAGGGGTACCTTTACCTTTACCTTTTTTACCAATGAATTAACAACAAACACAAGCAAGCACCATTGATTGCATGGCACAGTGGCAGCAATTGGGCACCCGCTGAACAGCAGGTCTGGCATTGCCCTTTGGCCTGTGGGTTTCTGCTCCTTGTGCTGCCTCTGCTTCCAGGTGCCCCACCCAGCTGTCTTCTTCTCTTCTTCTTGCATTTTAAAGCAGAGGCAGGATAGCTCACTCAGTGGGGTATGAGACTCTTAATCTCGGTTGTGGGTTTGAGTCCCCCGTTGGCATGGGCATAGCCAATGGGGGGCAGGGGGCAGCTACCCCCCCCCCAGATCAAGTAAAACAATAGAAAGTCCTGCCCCCCCCCCAACAAAAATCCTGGCTACTCCCATGCCCATTGGACAAAACATTCCTGCATTGCAGGGGGTTGGGCTAGATGACCCTCGTGGTCCCTTCCAACTCTACAATTCTAGGATTCTAGGATTCAGCTTCTCCATTCCCCACCTGCCTTGGATCTTTCCCAGCACTACAGAGGTGTTGGCCTTCCTTTTCCTTAATGCAGTTCAGCTTCCCAGGGTCAGCACCAACAAACTTCAGATGCTTGCAGGTCGCTAGAATCCTGGCAAAGCACACAGGACCTGACTAGCTACTACCTGATCCAACAAGACAATCATTGTGACCTTTAGCAAGAGTTGCAGAATCAGGATCCCTGAGCACAGCTCACTCTTGCCCTTCAGAGCTCTCCTCTTTGTGAATTTGCATTCTTGCTTTGTGAATTTAAAAAAGTGGCAGGCAACAATTTATAGCAAAAAATGGAAAACGAGGAGAGCAGGCAAGTTTGGGGGTGGCTCATGAGGTTTGAGCCTGCTGCAGAACAGTGTTTGCTGAGTGGCCCAACTGTTCAAAGCGAGCTTTGCCGGGTGACACCTCATTTGACCCACAGAACTGCTGCCCTGTTTGATGGAGGCATCCTGCTCCACCAGGCAGCAGAGGCAGGAGCTGTTTGGCATCTGTCCCCACTTGGAAACCTGCCCATTGGCCTCCCGCCTTGGTCCTCAAGTAGGAACAGCCTCTTTGCCAGGTAATCCCTTGGCATGTGACCCAGGCTGATCAAGTCTGGCTTGAGCACAAAGGAATGCACACACACAAAACTACCACCCCAACACCAAAGTTACTGGCTACATCATGACTCACTCTGGACTTTCTGAATCGTGAGGAAATCGAAGCCCCAAACTAGAAAACAAACACACCCTTTCCCACTGCTCACTATAGTTCTCTGGGGCTGCTGTGTTTCTTGACTTTGCCTTTGTCCTGGGGGAGGGGGCAAGGTGGAAAGGACTTCCTTGGGACACAACCGCCAGTGCCTCCTTGTTTCCCTTTTGTCCTAGACTGGGCGGTGAGCGGGCCTTGGCTTCACCTCGAGGCTGGCAGGCAAGGAGATGACCAAGCACTCGGGCAACAGGCTACGTGTGCAGAGCAGGGCAGCCACACAGGAGAACCATCGCCATCACTGCTGAGAGCCTCGTGACTTCCTGCTTGTGATGCTGATGTGGATGGATTATCTGAGGAATTAATCACTTGACAGGATGAGGAGCTGTCATTCATTATGCTCTTAGCTTTTCGCATTCCTGCTTCCTTTCCTTCACTCCTGACATGCCACAACATTAAACTGACCCACCTTGAGACAAGCAAATGGGGGCTGAGGGATGGGAGAGGTGTCTCTTCAGGGACATGGATGCTCCAGCACAGTTGGTTAGACTCTTCACCCAAAACAGAGTTCAGTGCGGTCACTTGGCCCATCAGTCTCTTGCCAACAGCAGCAAGTATCAGAGCTCAACACATGCCTTCGCCAAAGCCGAAATGATGGTGAAGCAGTAGCTGCAGCCATACGCCCCCTGGGAGCCATTCCAGACTCTGACCCCACCCCCATTTATTACTTACAGAATTAAACTCCGCTTTTATTTCTCTGTTCTGCACCCTGAGAGAGAGAGGACAATTCTCTACACGAGTCACCAATATATAAATATTTGCTCACTCACTGACAGTGGTGTCAAAATGGTTGAAGTGCAGTGGGTAGAAAATTGAAATTTAACAATCAAAACAAATCCCCCCTCAGGTACCTACCATCAACTGCCCTGTAGGAAAGATGCTGTTGACTTTATTTATCTATCTATCGAATTTATTGCCAGCCTTCATCAACAGGTAGCTGCACAGCTTGCAACAACATTACAATCACTGGAAATCATTTACAATCGGAATAATAGGGTGGGTCCTGAAATATATATTTCACAGGTATCAAAGGCCAGATGAAGCGGTGCCTCTTCAACATAGGGTGGGAGCCGAATGACAAAGGTGCCAGATGACCCTTCTCTGTGGGGAAGGAGGGATGACACAGCTAGTGCCACCAGAACTATCAAGAGCACACACACACACCCCCGTCAATCTGAACACCCAAGATGGTCTCTAAGGGTATTTGGGGGCTTTTAAGAAGGTAGTGTAATCTTACCTGCAAGCCTCTCTAGAAGAATTTGTATCCTAAAAGGCTGGGTAGATAGATAGTCAGGCAGATACTTCTCAAATTCATGCTGCAATTTCCATTATCAGTTGCCTCATGAAGGTATTCACACAACCCACCATCTGTTTGTTAGAAGGGATCTCCTCTAAAATCAGGGTATGCAAATCTGCATCCTCACTTCAGTTGCCTCTGCAACGCACACACATCCCCTCCTGCATTACGAGACTCAATGCTTCTGCCTTTTCCCTGAAACCTAAGCCCACGGCCGCCTTGTCACCTGTGACTCTGCAAGCTTGCTTACCTTGCTAGGCTGTCCAGCACCTTTCAGCAGCGGCTGGTGCTCCATTCTCCACACCTGGCAGGTGGCCTTCTCACCAAGGTGGCTGAGCTACAGCAGAAGGAGGCTGAGAGGTGCCACCGTTGGGGTGGCAAAGTGCTGTTGCAGCAGACCCCAGAGCCTTCATGCCAAGGTACTCCAGACTCGGCTGTCTATGGAGTTTTATGGGCTGGGACTCATCACAGCCTGCCAGCGAGTCAAAGCATTTCGGGGGTCACCCCACAAAGAACTTTTTCACCAACTGTGAAAAGTCCATTCGTTTTGGTTGCTCAGGGAAACATGCACATTAGTGACTAGTTTGTTGTGGGCCCCCATTTGTCCGTGAAGAGAGAGATATAAAGAAGCAAACAGAGAGCTGGGAGGAGACAATTACCTTGTGATTTCCCCTCATTCCTCCCTTGGACCTCGAGCCTCTGGCAGGACACTTGGAGCAGTCCATGGAGTATGGAGCAATGCGCAGAGCTGATGAAGCATCCGAGGGCCCTTCTCTCGCATCTCAGCTCTTCCACCTAGAGGCCCCTTGAAGCGCCAATAAGAAAGACTGAGCCCCTCACCTGACTGGCTTTCACATGTTGCTGGCTCAAAAAATTAAGCTGGCTTTAAACTGCAAACTCCGTCCGGTGGGGAGGGAGGGCTCCCAGCTGAGTGCTGCTTACACAATGCGAGAGAAGAGACCTGGGAAGAAATGGGGCTGTCTGAATCCCTTGGTGTCTCCAGGCTTCACGTCTGCCTGGAAAGAGCGGGTCACAGTCCAGAGCTTTTCAAACTAGCCCCCTTTGGGCAGAATTCTGTTGGAGATGCAGCAAAAGCCTCCAGAATATGGAGCTGGCGACACCAAAGTGGATGCAGAAAAAGAGCCAGAGGAAAGATGGCCGCAGCCAACCAGAGACCCAGGTGGATAGGCTGGCAAAGGAATCCGGTCACTGGGAGAAGAGGCAGACAAACCCAAGGAGCTGCTTCCCAGAATGTGCAGGGGGTCCAAGGCCAGCAAGGAGAAAAGAGGATGTCAGTAGAGATAGCCCAGGGAGGGAGGTGAGAGGAGAAACCTGGAGTTTCTGTGGTCCCTCACCTGAGAAACCTCCCCTGCAGATCCCTGCATCTCGAGCCTTGGCCAAAGGAACAGGGGCAAGCCAAGGTCATTCCTTTCTGACCAGCTAGCAACCCTTTAGGCCAGGCATAGGCAAACTCGGCCCTCCAGATGTTTTAGGACTACAACTCCCATCACCCCTGACCACTGGTCCTGTTAGCTAGGGATGATGGGAGTTGTAGTCCCAAAACATCTGGAGGGCCGAGTTTGCCTGTGCCTGCTTTAGGCACTCAGGGTAGGGTGTTGTGTGAAGAAAAGCACCCCAACTCTTGGAGTGTAAAGGTATTTAAGGCCAAAGTAGCCCCCAAACTCCTCTATGGCATCCCATTATGGACCGGTGCAGTTAACCAGTCGTTGGAACGCATCCAATCCAAATTCTTGCAGTAAATCCTGCCAAATTGTGTGCCACATGCAGCTATGTGTCTGGAAACTGGACGAGCTGCTGGAATCCAAAGCGTGGCTCACCACTATAAAGTACTGACTCCGCCTACATTCCATGCCTGGTTCCTCCTCTTTAACTTTCCACATACTGGCAGAATCCCACCACTCTGAATGGCTAGCTTGCATCGAGAGCAAAATCAGAACCTGTGGCCTCTCACTCAAGTCACTGCTTATGTTCCCACAATTGGAAGCATTCTAAACAATCAAGCACAAAATCCTAGATATTTAATTCCAAACCCTTAGCAGCGTTGCCAGTAAAACCTGTTTCCCATTGGGGCTGAGAATTCCACCCTCATTTGGCCAGGACACTCCATATTTACATCAGCTTTATGATCCTCACCTAGGTAGAGCTCTTTCCCTTGCAAGATTTAACGTCTTACCATATGCAGTTTTGCAAGGTAGATTTTTAAAAAACCCATCCTATAAGAGATACTGCCCTTGTGGCACAAAACAGGTTGAATCCATCACATACATTTTCTTTTATTGCCCATTTTATGCAAAAAATATATGAAAAGTAGAAGAAGGGGATTTATCGCTCTGACTCTTCCAGGATGTCTTATCTGTTGAACAATTGTGTCGCCCCAGCTTCTTCAGAGGAGAAAAAAACTTAAACATGTTTCAGAGCTCCCAAAAATAGACCAAAGGCAATTGTACTGTACTTCATCCAGCAGAGCTTTTTTTAAAAAATGATATTTATTACTTTTCAAACAATTTCAACACAACATTACACAAAAAAAGAAAGAAGAAAAAAGAAAAAAGAACAATACAAATACAATACAAAAACACCACATACAAAGCAAAACAAAAACAAACAAAAACAATTTAAAATCACCTCAAACATTTTCAACATCCCATCTTTCATTCGCTTATTTCCATCGACCTCCTCACACCTCCCTTTTTGTATTCCACTTCTATTTATTGTTTCAGCAATTCCTTTCCATCTTCCTCTGTTTTCTATCCTATGATTATCTTAACACATTCTTGCCTTATTTTTTCCTTTAATTTTCTATTAATCTATTTATACTTAATTCTTTGTAACATTTCTACTAAAGCCATATAACTTCATTCCAACATTCTTCTAACATTACTTAATTTTACCATATTTCTGTAAATAGTCTTTAAACTTTTTCCAGTCTTCTTCCCCCGACTCTTCTCCCTGATCTCGGATCTTGCCAGTCATTTCCACCAATTCCATCTAGTCCATCAACTTCATCTGCCATTATCCAACACTTCAGTGCTTTCAAGAAACAGCCATTCTCTCAGCCAGCAAAAAGCAGATGGTTCACAACAAAGTTTAAGGGTCTGGCAGGGCAGGTCCGCCTCCTTCTTTAGCATCCGTCAATATCTTAAATTTTACTCTTGGCTTCCTGCCCTGCCAGGCAAATCTAGAGACGTCCCTCTGCCACCTCCTGATACAATCCATCCCATCCAAAACTTGCAATGTTTGAAACAAAAGCAACATCCCCAACAACACAGCAACCCTCATTCCCCCCACAGCAACTCGGCCCAACAATTACAACTTCAGATTTAACCATATTTCCAAATCCTCCTTCCCTTCAATCCAACGTCCTTCACAATTGTCCTTGAATAAATTCACATTTCTGGCGGTCATACTAACCCCCAAAGACCTCTCTTTCTCAACCAATATTAGTCCTGTCTCCTCCTGAACCTCTGTCAAGCTTTCCTTTTCCTCAGGTAGGGCTCTGATCCTCAAATTCATCCGTTTCTCTTTAAGTTCAATCATAGCAAATGTCAGCTTATGTTCCTCAAGTTGTCCTTGTATGGATGGGGCTCTCTCTCTCTCCAATTGAATTGCTTCAAATTCAGCAGCAAGGGTTTTCTCCTTGGCTTCATCCGCAGTTTGCTGTATCAAAGTAGATTCCTGTATCAATTTCTGGATGGTTTCTGTATTGGTATTCACCTTTTGTCCCAGATTATTTAAACTTTCTGCCATTAAGTCTATTTTAATATTTGCAGCATTTACTTTCACATTCATCACATCTGTTTTCTTGTGAAGCTGTTCCAGCGAATTGTTTATTTTCACCAATACGGCCACTAAGGCCTCTTCTGTCGACATTCCGTCTATTTTTTCCTTTCCTTTTGCCATAACACTTAAGAGACAATCCCAGAGTCTCACACTTCTTTATCTGCAGCTGGAAATTCCCCTAGTCTTGCCCCTATGGAGCAACCAATTTCAAAAGCTTCCACTAGGGGAAACAGTTTCCATTTGTATTAGTCGGTACTGTCCTCTTTTAGACAATGTTCCAATAATCCAAAGTTAGTTTGAGCTTTCAGTTACTTTAACTCCTCTTTAAAAGCAACCGGAGACAGTGGAAACAATGTATTCTCTCATTTCGCTACCTGTCTTTTTTTTTAAAAATGATATTTATTAAGAATTTAAAATTTACAGAAAAACAGAAAAAGAAGAGAGAGAAAAAAGAAATTAAACAATACAAGTCAACAAAAAAAATACAAAACACACAATACATCAAAACCAAAAACAAAAGCAAAAAAGAATTAAAAACAAATCCAATATTCCCATATCTTTATCTTTCATTACCTTGTTTCATCGACCTCCTCACACCTTCCTTTTTTGTATTCTAATTATTAATTATTTCAGCAAATCCTTTCCATCTTTCACTATATTCTGTCATTTAATTGTCTTAATTTATTTTAACCTTATGTTACCATAAAAAGCCCTAAAACTTAAAATTTATTTGTACATAACTCCTTATAGCATTTCTACTAAAGCCAAATAGTTTCATTCCAACATTTTTCTAACACTCATTAATTTTACAATATTTCTCTAAATAAATTTTTAAACTTTCTTCCAATCTTCATCCACCGTCTCTTCTCCCTGGTCTCGGGTTCTGTCAGTCCTTTCTATCCATTCCATCTAGTCCATCAACCTGGTGATCTTCTGTCCGAGGCTCTTAACTCTTTTCCATGTCCCTTCTGCAGATCTTCTTCATATTTATACCTGCACTTTACTTTGTCTTCTGCTGATCTTGTTCTTAATTTCCTTCCTTTGTCACTGAGGAGTAGATCTCGGGGAGACTCCAACCTAACAATGTCTTTATCCCTTCTTGACAGGTCAGCCCATTCTCCATAGTCAGCACTAAAATCCAAAAGATATTTCAAAGCATGTTTCAAAGTCCCTCCAAAGTTAAAGGCCCCCACAACTCCAATCTCCCACTGGCCCAAAACCAGATCCCAGAAGCCAGAACATCCCTGCATAGGGGGATCTATCCAACTTCCCATCTCCAATCCAAACGGGACTTCATCTCTCCAAATCTGGTTTTCTCCAGATTCGGTCATCAGAAACAGCAGCTTATGTTACTGCAAAACCGCAGCTCTCTCCACTTGTATTACTTGAGGTTCAAAAACAACCTCCTCCTTTGTCTTCTCCACAGCTTGCCCTATCAAAGCAGATTCCTGGGTCAGTTCCTGAGAGGTTTCTATATAGGTATTCAATGTTTGTCCAAAATTTTCAGTTGCAGTAGTCATCAAATCCATCTTCTTATGAAGCTGCTCCAACAAAGCACTTGTCCTGCAAAAAGCAGAGACTAAGGCTTCCTCTGCCCACATTCTTGTCCAAGGTCAATGTCTAGTTCTCACAATCTTTAATCTCTACAGCTGGCGAGTTCCCCAGGTCCACTCCAACAGCAGTTTCAAAAGCTCCCTCTAGAGGAAACAATTTCTATTTGTATCCGTCCTTTTGAAAGCAGATCCGGCAACAAAATTACTTTCGTTTTTCAAATATTTTGTTCCTTTTAAGTGCAAAAGGAAACATTGGAATCAATCAATCAATCTGTCAACATACGTTTTATTCACTGTCAATGAACTTTCCCAAAACGTCTGTCTTCTTGACAGCCCGTTCCCAGGTTCAAGACGGTAGAAATATATCTTTCTTTATTCTCTCTCCTGCAGGCTTGAACAATCTAAGATTTCCCCCCTCTTCTCCTGCTTCCAAGGGGGGTTTAGTAATTTTAGCCGATGGAAATTTAGTTCTTTGCAAAAAACTTTTCAGACTTTAGCTTGCGATGTCTTTGCTTCAAACTATTTACAAAAGCGGAAGGCAGACTTCCTGTTTAGACCTTCCCGCTTCGGTGCCAAATTACGAAGTTTAATAATCCAATTTTCCGTTCTACTCACGGGTACTTGTTTAAAGTCCAATTGTCCACAGGAAAAAGTCAGCGCTCTCCGGCAACAGCAATGCGGCTTCACTCCGTGAAAAGAGCAGTCGATTCGAAGCACCACGCCACTCACCCCACGTCGCTCCGGATCCCTGAAACCGGGTTTCCCCGCGAGTAGGGGAGGCGCAAAAGGTGCCAGCCGAATCCCACGTCCACAGGCTTCTCCCGCCTGTGGTTTTTAGTGGGTCTCCGCCTCGCCGTGGCGGTCAAGACCCTAATTTCCATGAAGCGGATTCCTCCCGATCAGAGGAAATCCGCCATTGCCGGTGGCGCTAACCCGGAAGTCTTCATTTCGCTACCTGTCAATGAACGTTCTAAATGCTGTCAATGAACATTCCAAAACGTCAGTCCTACTAGCAGCCCGTTCCCAGGGTCAGAGCGGTGGTATTTTAACTTTTTTCACTCTGTCCTGCAGGCATACTCAGTCCACAACTTCTCCCCCTCTTCTCCTGCCTCCAAGGGGGGTTTTATGCTCTTTACCGATGGAAGTTTAATCTTTTACGAAAGGCTTTCCAAGACTTTAGCTTGCAGCCTCCTTGCCTCAGTCTATTTACAACTTCCTGTTTTGAACCTCCCCGTTTCGATGCCAAATTAAACGTTTAAAGTCCGATTCTCCCGTTTCAGCTCTACTCACGGGTAATTACTTTGAAGTCAAATTGTCCACAGGAAAAAGTCAGCGCTCTCCGGCAACAGCTATGCGGCTTCGCTCCGTGGAAGAAGCAGACGATTCGAAGCACCGCGCCGCTCACCCCACGTCACTCCGGGTCCCCGAAACTGGGTTCCCCCGCGAGTAGGGGAGGCGCAAAATGTGCCCGCCGAATCCCACATTCACAGGCTTCTCCCGCCTGTGATTTTTACGGGTCTCTGCCTTCGCCACGGCGGTACAGACCCAATTTCCCATGGGGCAAGTTCCTCCCGATCAGAGGAACTCCGCCATTGCCGGAGGCACCAACCCGGAAGTCCATCCAGCAGAGCTTTACTGCTACTGAAAGCAAATGAGCATAATGGTCACAAATTCAGTACATTCAAAATCCAGTTGTAATAAGACCAAACCTTAACATTCAGCATACAGAATACCACACAGGAACAATGAGATAAAAGGAAAAAGTGAGACCCAGGCTCCTCCTGGTCTGACTTTAATAGTCAGCACAACCTTGACAGAAAGATAACAGAACTAGTTTAAACCAGCTGTACTCAGCTTCCCAGAAGAAATAACCCAAACAATAACCTTCTGCCTGTTTCTTTCACATAGAAAGAAAACTTTCCAGAACACTCTTGAATTAAGTAGAACAGGAAAAATCTCTACACATAAATCAACACTTTCTTTACTAAGAAATGCAGACTGACAAATTGTAGGAATGACGTTGTGGAGAATGTGGCAAGATTTTTGAATGAAACCATGAAATTACGTCACTATAGGTCCTAAGAGCCATTTTCATACCTCACAGTGTCTGGACAGTTTTATCCTGAAGTAGCTCCTACTATGTTCTGTTAACAGTGTTGTGTTCTGATCCGTGTAAATGATGCACGTATTCTATGCCAATATAGGAGACTAATTGATTGAAGTGGATTTGTTGCACCAGGACAACGGGGCACTTTAATCCACTTTAATTGCACAAACCTAAATTTCCAGTGTGCCCTCAAACCTCTCTAATAATAATAATAATAATAATAATAATAATAATAATATCTTTATTGTCATTGCCCCCTCTCGGGGACAACGAAATAAAATACAACCCTGGAGGTGACCAGAGATTTTTGGCTTGACTTTAAGCCTTTCCCACTGGCTTCCCCTGGTGAAAGGCTGCTGCTGCCACCACTTCATGGTACCTGGGATTTAAGTGCAGCTGCAACTGGGGAGTGGTGTGTCATGATCCTTCTCATTTAGGCTTTCATGCCAAAACAGGAGGTGATTTTCTCCTGAGTTTGTAAGCATTTTTAAAATTACTCTGTTAGTACCAATGTAGATGAAGTCTGTGATTATACCCCTATTGCATGGAGCAGGTTTGCAAGAATGTGCTTTAAGAGCAGAGAGAATGTGAGCTATGCCAGCCCTGCAAAACAGCCCCCTGTTGTTAGCCCCATTTTGCTGAAGGGAGGCGGGAAGTAGTGAAGACAACCCTGAAGAATAGCTGGATGTTGTTAGCCTAGTACCGGTATTTCTTTTATTTCTTTCTTCTTTTTGGGGGGGGGGGGAAAGAGGGGCGAGGGGGCTGTAAAGTTGACTGCAGCAGCAGAGTGGAAGTCAGGTGGACAGCAGGTTTGGTTGCAATCCATCTGTCTCGAGAGACAATGGAGTGTGCCTCCAGGGGTGAAGTCAAACCGCAGGGGAATCACAGTGCCTGCTGTGGCTGCACTTGTAACTGTTGCCATTCTGCATTGTTTTTTGCTGTGTTAGCAGCACCAAAGTGACCTCTCTGGGCAAGCCTGGGCAGAGTGGGGGCGCGGGGGGTGTCATGGGCTGTGCAGATGACAACACCCCCGTCTCGGCCTCGCAGGTGTGGAGCCAGTCAAAGCCATTTCACAGGGTGTGGCCACTGTCCCATGCTGGCCACTGCTGCAAAGAGTTTTGCAGGCTCAGGTTGAAGAGTCAAGCAAAGAACATAGCCAGGATATAGAAGCAAAACAGCAGCCAAGAGGCCTGATCTTTATTGTTGCAACAATGACTCCAAACTACAACATAAAAGATGCAGAGAGAAGCCCCAAACAAAGGGTGTCACTTTCTTTTAAAGGTTTCCCCGAATTGCCCATAACACCACATTGAAATCGTCACACATATGTCACAAGCATGTCATAAACTAGGAGTGGCATCTTGGCTGAAAACTGATGCCTTGTCAGTCAGGGATATTTAGCATTCCTGGCACTGGTTAAGGCAAAAGGTGATGCCCGCAATCTCTGACATCCAGGCCAAGTCCAATATCCCCCTTTGTCCGAGTCTGGAAGGTGAGACCTAGCACCTATTGGGTATGGGCAGGGTTTGCAGGGGATTTTGGCTCCCCCAGGCCTGACCTCCCTCCTCTGGTCGCCATCCTTTCCCTGAGCAAAACACCATTGGAATGATGAAAATCCATCACAGATGTGATTTTATATTGAATTTTTTTACTGTAGAAAATGAGACCCCGGCTCTACTGGGTAAAAAGTAACAAGGCTGGATACAATGTTGCAAGTCAGTTCCCCACTTTCCCTGACTCGGCGGGGTTCCTCGGCGAGGATGCCTGGTTTACACCTGCAGTACCGGGGGTCCTCGTTAGGGGGCGCTGCCTCGCAAGCAGCCGTCAAAATAAGAGACGCCCCGCGATCCCTTCGTCTCCCGGCGGCGCTTAAACAGGGAAAGGGGGGGAAATGGGTCGTGTGTTTCTTACTGACGTTTCCGGCTGCCCCACTTCCAGGAGCCGAGGAGCAGGCCGGGCGGAAGGGGCGTACCGGAAGGGCGGCGCCCCGCCTCCCCGGCATGCCCTGGGCGCCGCCGCCTGCCATTCCCGGCGTCCTCCGGGAGCGGAAGCGGAAGAGCGGAAGCAGCGGCCCCTCAGAGGACGAGGAGGCCCCGCGCGAACCCGCGCCATGGCGGCCCTGCAGGGGGCCTTTCCGGGGGGAGGAGCCGCGCCCCCGCCGGCCCAGCTCCGGCCCGGCCCGCTCGCGCCACCCCTCCGGCCCGCGGCGGGGAGCGCCATGGAGGGGCTGGGGGCCCGCCGGGCCGGCCTCTGCGCGCCCCCGCCGCCCAGGATCCGCGCACGGTAGGCGGGCGGGCGGGGGGCGGGGGGCGGGGGGGTCCGGGCCTGGGCGCCCTGGCGGCTCCCGCTGAGCGCAGCCTTCTCTCCCCCGCAGGCCGCCCTCCCTGCGCCGCCGCAGCAGCAGCAGCCAGAAGCGCCGCCTGGACGGGGAGCCCGACGGGTAAGCGCCGGCCGGCCGGCGGGGAAGTGGGGAGGGGGCGCGGCGGGGAGCGGCCCCCGGGAGCTTCGGCCGCCGCGGAGCCCCGTCTAAGCTGCGCCATTCCTTCGCCAGCTGCCCGGAGGCCAAGAAGAGGCTGGCGGAGGCGGTGCCTGCCTTGGGAGAGTGGCTCCTTGTCGCGGGCCAGACGTGCAGCCCGGGACTCTCTCCGCAGGGCCAGAGTCACCTGCCTGGTCCGCTGGACGTTCCCTGGGAAGAGATGGAGCAGTCGGCGGGGGAGCTGCAGTGCGAGGCGGCCCGCAGGAAGCTGCAGGAGATCGAGGACAGGTAGGGGCCGGGACACTTCAGCTCAGGAGGGGGGAAGGTGCCTCCTTTTGCAACCCCCTGGACTGGATTTGCTGCTGCTGGCCTGGTGTTTGCTTGTTTTTTGTTTTCGCACTGGTATTTTCTCTACTTTGGCTGAAAGTGAGTAGGTGCAGAGGTGAATAGGTGAGATTGACAGACCTCATCTTCTCCTCCCCCCACCCCATCAATGATTCCATCAGAAATTGCCCAAACACTTCCAATGTTGCCTTCACAGCAGTGTTGGAAACTTTGAAGTATAAGCTAATTGCCAAGCAGCACCTTAAACTTGCAGTTGCTGCAACGGAATGTCTAGCTGCTTTTTCTTTTTTTGTGGTGACATCATCATCATCGTTGTTGTTGTTTCATTTCTATACAGCTTTATATTTGAAAGAAAAGAATTCATATCCCTTTCTGTTGCTAGAATAATTGACGAGGATGAAGAAGATGAGAGCGCCCTTCCGGCAGGAGGTGTCTGCACCCTTCCCACCTTGGTTCTTTCTGACACCCTGAAAACAGGACTGAAGAGGGATTACGAAGGAGACCTGACAAGGCAAATGATCGAGTCCATGTAAGGAGCTGCCAGAGCGAAGCCTGGCTCATGGTGGTGCTTGGGAGGGGGCCGCACAGTCCACTGAACTAACAATGCATTTGCCAGTTTCACACACACCCTGCCCAGGGCCATAGCAAGGCAGGCTGTGACAGGATCTTCCTGCTTGGCTTGAGGAGGGGGTTGTTGAAGGGACCAAAAAAATGAACTCCAGAGCAGCAGTAACACTGCAGGGCTTTGGCTAGGGGTTGATGCAGCAGGATTCTCTGTTGTGATTCCTGTGCTCTCATCCACGCAGGAGCCGCCCCTCCATGGAGCTGGTGCTTTGGAAGCCTCTCCCAGAGTTCCTCACTGAAAGGACGCCTGTTTCTGTGAAAAACTTCAAGCCACTGATCACAGGAAGATGCCCCACGAAGCCAGCAGCCCAAAAAGTAGCTGCCTTTTGCCCACAGACGGCAGAGTTTCCTGAGGAGCCTCAGCAAGAGGAGATGCCTTCGGCCCTCTATGGCCCCCTGGGGCGCCCTGCAGGTGCAGACGAAGAGATGGAGTTGTAGGCAAAGAAGAAGGGGCTGAGGCAGAGTTCTCCAGACATGCTGAGACTGGACTGCTGGGGAGGGGACTGTGAGGACCATAAAGAGTCTAGGGTGGAATAGTAACATGTCTGGAACATGGAGCAGAAGACGCTTTCAGAGTCCTTGTAAAGAAACGTGATGGGTAGGGTTTGTATTTTTCCTTTTGGGTGTGACTTTTTTCTTCCCTTTTCATGGAGTAAAAGTCAGGAGCTGACAGTGTAGTTCTGGCTCAGACCACCCTCTATGCCCACTAAGCTACAAGTGTTGTTCTGTTTGGAACTTCAGTGGAGGATTTTCACCTGCTTTAAAAGGAGAGTCTCAATCTTGAGTGTTTGCCTGCGTTCGCTTTCACTGCTGCTCCTTGAGCCGTGTGGCTTAAGTGTTGCTGTGAGGAAAGGGAGGAAAGGGCACCTTGCAGGCATCCTTGCCGGCTCAAGTGTGGCCTAGAAATTGTCAAGAGGTGGGGCGGGATAGAGGCCAAGCCACAGAGCTGGCTGCAGGCCTTAGCTTTGAGTCAAGAGCCATTTCTGTTGGCTGACTCCTGCTTACTCTCCCCTTCCTCCCAAAGATTGCTCATTGGGTTGAGGGTGTCAGGACACAGTTGATGGCTTTGGGCCAACCATTCCCAAAACCAATGTCATACAAGTATCAGCCTGCCCAAAACAGCAGCTTTAACGTTCATTTCACCTTGTGCCTGAATCTGAGCCATGGCTGGTGCTGCCAGTCCTCCAGTGACAACTGTCTGAATGCCATAGAACACAAAGTTGCTTTCCTCTGGAACGATACCTCGTGTCTTTATTCAGAAAAGCCATTTCCTGGCTGCCAGGAAGCTACAAAATGGTCCTTTCCTAAATCTAGAATTACCAGGAAGGGCAGTATCAGCAAAACATCCTCACCTGAAAGACTTTAAAACCACACTCATTTCCCCCTGTTCTTGCTTCATTTCCTGGATGGTCACTTGAGTTTATGTATATGTCCTTTTTGTTGGTGTGTTTTTTAATTTTTATTAATCCTCCCTGCCCACACTCCTTGTCTTCTTCAAAACGTTAGAACAATTGTACCTAAACATTTACATCTTAATTCAGAGTAGAAACCCTGTGCATCCACCCCCCAATCTTGTTAAGACTAAACTGTCACCTGCAGCCAGCAGGGCTAGTGGTCAAGAGACTGGAGATGTAGCCTGGCAACAACTGGTGGGAAAAGCATTTATCCCATTGTTATTTTCCTTTTTGGTAGTCCTCTACATGCAAGCAGAAGTGGCTTTTAAACTGCCCAAGTTTCAGAGGATGGAGGGAAGGACACAAAGCGGTTAGAACCTGCTGGTCCCCACTCTGGTAGCATGTTGAAGGGCCTCCACAGCTGATGTGAGAAGACGGTGAAGGCAAATGTCTGGCTCTGGCATTGGGTCTTCCATTGGCCCACATCCTTGGAAGTCAGAAGGAGTGAGTGGTGGTTCTTTTTCAGATGTTGCAGTTACCATTCATGCTGGCTAAATGCTGTTTAATGAAGACTACTTCTGTTGGTGGAAGGATAAAATAGGTATATAAAGAAAGAATTCCTGAATGCCACGATCCAGGTTTGGGCAAGTATTCCATGGTGAGGACACAAGCAAAGTGTGGGAATACAGACCTTTAGAATATGCCCTTGTGTGTTCTAAAGGACAACACATTTGGTAAGCTTAAAATTGTCTAAAACTCTCCAAAGGTCAGATTCATGTGCTTTTCCGTACAGCAACAGCATTCAGAAAGTTGCACAGGCTGTAAAACTTGGCTTTCTTACAAAGTGGTGAAAGTTCCTAAATTATTGGTATAGGAACTCAAGGGAGGTTTGTTAGAGCCATGCGGCTAAGCTGGAACACATGCTGAGCTTTTCAGGGGGCGAGGCGGACAAAGACTTGATTATCTACTGTCTCAAGGTGAGCTAAGCCTGGCAGGACAGCTTATGTAAGCATGTTGGTTATGAGGCTGCTTATCCCACAAATACTGGTGAGAGATGGGGAATTCTTCTGATTCCAGAAGTAAATAGATCCAGATCACTTTAATTTATTTTCCAATTCATTTTTGTCATTGAGACCTGTCTCTGCTTCCTCACAGGAAAACAGTGCCACACAAGTATAGCTCAGAGGGGGAGTTCTCTGAGTGTGTTTGCTGGTCCGTCCGTTTGAAATAAGCAACATTGGATTGTGGTCTGTCTTTGGTTGGACCAATTTGTATGTCAATAAACTTTTTTAACGTTTGTAGTATGCTGTGGGATGGTCTTGCTGTTTTGACCACTGAAGAGGTGGTGGAATAGTTGCAAGTTTCTGCTGGCCCCTGGTGATATGCTGCATTGGCTAGCTGCCATGAAAAGCTCCTTTGGACTTTTTAGTTCAGCCTTTGCCCCTCCAGAAGGCCCTGAAAAATATACACCACCGAGCACTCGCAACCTACTGAAGTGATCAAACCATCTCCCTGAACAAGCTGTGTTGCAAATCAACAAGTGTCATTGTGTCGCTAAAGCAATAAAAGCACCTGCAGTTGCTGTGTAAGGTGGAGCAGGTGTCTTGCATCTCAAGCACTAACAGCGGCCTAAATGCGACCCCCCCCCAAAAAAAAACCTGCCTTGAGGGACACATTACCACATTGCACTTTCAATGTTTTGGTAACGATTTATCTGGCTCTCCCCCTACAACTTCTAGTGGCACCCTTGGATTTTGAGTCTTTCATGTGCAGAGTTTTTAGCCTATGATCCCTCAAAGTGTTGTGACTTAGTACTTGTAGTAATCTGTATTTCTGTGTCAGCTGAAATGAAGCTGCAGGTCAATGCAAGAGCTAATTGAAAGACACCATGTACTGTGCCTCATCACATAACATGGACTTGTTTTGTGCCTACCTGCTCCTTGTCTAACAGGATTGCTGGGGCAACCCAGTCAGATGGGTGACATCAAGTTCTGCTGTTATGAGATGTACACCTCTGAGAAATATCGAGCAGGGAAGTTGCTGGAAACCACTTCAACAAAAAAGGCATACACCGCTTCTGCTTGGCTCTTTCAGAACAATATGGGGAGTTCTTGGGCTTTCACAGCTGCTGCTTTCATGCAACTGCTATTTTTATCAGCCAGAAGTTTTTGTCCAGTTTACTAAGCCCTCCTCCAAATCAGAGAGGTGGGCCTATTTTCTTGCTTCCTGGTCTGGATCAAAAGCAGTTTCACAGCATTTAATAGTACAGTGGTACCTTGGTTCTCAAACTGAATCCATTCCGGAAGTCTGTTCCAAAACCAAGGCACGCTTTCCCATAGAAAGTAATGCAAAATGGATTACAGTGGTACCTCTGGATGTGAACGGGATCCGTTCTGGAGGCCTGTTCACAACATGAAAGGAACACAACCCACAGCGGCGCATCTGCACACGCACGGGTTGCAATTTGCCACTTCGCATGACGTCATTTTGCACGTCTGCCCATGTGTGAGTGGCGAAACCCGGAAGCAACCCTTTCCGGTACTTCCAGGTTGCTGCGGGACGTAACCTGAAAGAACATAACATGAAGTGGACGTAACATGAGGTATGACTGTAATCCGTTCCAGACAATTAAAAACAACCCCTAAAACAGCAATTTAACATGAATTTTACTATCTGACGAGACCATTGATCCACAAAATGACAGCAATAGACCAGGCTGCAATTTACTACGAAGTATAAAAAACTAGCACTGATCTACCAATTGCCATTGAAGGGACGAGTGTGTGGGGCTGATGCTGCAGTGCTGTCGTCGCCACCCCTCTGGCGCTGGGTCCCTCTGCTGCCTTTGTCACTGCAGCATCAGCCATCCCCTCACCGCTTCCGGGTGTCGCCAGTGTCCGGTGCCGGCACCGAGTAAGGGAAGCCCATGTCGGGTGGCAAACAAGCAGGCAACAGAAGTGTGGAACTCAAAATGGAAGTGCACCCCCCGCACAGAGTACGTTCGGATTCCAAAAAAAGTCTGATAACCGGAACACTTACTGGCTCAATTTTGATACCTTGTTCCTTTCAAAATCTTAATGTGAATGAAAAGGAATGGTGCAAAGCTAGTGACTATTCTTTATGCGGCAATGCCATACTTTCTGTTCTGACTGCCCAAATAATAATCTTTCTTCAAACCCTAAACCACCTTATTGCCAGCAATTGTGCAATACTGTCTATAGGAAAAGTATTTTACACGTTTAATAGGGTGGGGAAGGCAGGCAAGAAATCACTTCCATTTTTTTAATTGCAGATAGTTGTTTAAATATGCAGCGGAGGAAAAATAATTATTACACTTTTTTGTTTTACAAAAGATTTCTATCCCAAATTGCCCCATTATTTACATAAATGAAAAGGGGAAAACCCACCCACCCCTCATAGGGCAATGTCTTCCTCAAAGAGCACAGGTGCCCACTTCTAACCCTGTAAAATGTCAATTTCTTAGATCGCCTCATCTCTGCATTAGGCAAATGTTGGGTAGATAAAACATACAAATGAGAACAATACTTAAGGTTCTGCTGAAACACTTTCAAGAGGAATGTTCTTTATAAGTAGCCCTGCTCTCCTTTTGGCTGTGAGGGCAGGGGCTCACTGGGGGAGTCAGAGACTCTTTTACACACTGATCAGCTGCGGAAAAAGTTCATTGGCAAAGGCCTCCTCCCAGCCATACTCTGCATCCAATGGGGAGGACAGGTCACTGAAAGGGGAAGGGGAGCCCTCATAACCTGAATCACTGGAAGCATCTAGCAGACAGGGGGTGAGCTGAGGCTTCTGGTCTGAGGTGAGCAGGTGGGAGACGCCCAGCTCAGGTAAGAGAACATTGACAGGCTCCTCCTTGACAGAGATGGGGTACTCCAGGGGGACGCTTTCAGAGGAGGGAGGAACAACTTCCTCTATTCTCACTAGCATATTGGCTTGGCCCTCCCCCTCCGCCACAATCTCCAGGAAGAAGGGTTTGGTATACTCATGGTCAAACCGTATAAGTTCATTAATGGCCTCCAGCTTGGGTGTTGTGGACCCCAGAGAGGAACTGGGGGAGGCTGGTAAGGAATCTGCTTCTCCACTCGCTTCTTGGTGCAACTTCTCCACACAGGCTGGTTCTGCACTTCCTCCATAGTGCAGGAACAAGTCTGGATCCAAGCTGTCCAGAATACCCAAGAGGAGATCAGACTGCAAAAGGAATAAGTCCTCTCATTAGCACAAAAAACATCCCATTTCAAGATGTCCCAGTCAGCTCCCCAGCTCCTAACAACCTGCCTAACCCGTTGGTGAAAGTAAGGTGGCTAGCCGTTGCTGTGAGAATGTGAGGAAATCAAGGCCGTTCTTTGTGGGATGAAGCCCAGTCTGAGCTGTGCTCTAGGAAGCCAAAGGGGTCCATGTTCCATCTGCATTTGTGCACAGCAGGCCAGAAAGGGTTGCAACAGAACTCACCTCAGAATCTGAAGAATCAGAGTTGTCTGGATCCAAGCGGAGGCCACCACCACCACCAAGGCGAGCGGCTGCTGGGCCTGTCCCTGCTGCAGAGGAACACGTAGTCTAAGTGCTGCAGACTCAGCGGACCCGGCCGTTGCCCCAGTGGTGCTGCCCCTCTCGGGCTGCTCCCCCTCATCTTCTTCCAGCATCTCCACCTTTGAGGGGGAAGGAGATAGAGAGACTCAGGTGAGCGCTCGAGTTCAGGGAGACAGGTGGGGCCTCTTGGAGCTGCTCTCTTACCTTGAGCGCTACTGCCATCGGTGCTGCCCCTCCTTCCGCTCCTGCGGGCGGTGCCGCCGCCGCTTCCAGAGCGGGGAGCCCGAGGCGGAGGCGCAGCTCCCGGTTCTCCCGCGCCAGGCTGTGCGTCCGCTCGCGAAGCGCCTGGTTCTCGGCCAGCAGCTTCTGGTTCTGCGGGGAGGAGAGAGGCGGCGCTGAGCGGCGGGATGTGGCCCCGGGAGCCCCCTCTCCGGCCCGCGCTGCCCTCCCTGGCCACCTACCTCCGCCTCCAGTTCCACGGCCTGCCGCTCCAGCTCGCCCATGCGCGCCTTCTTGCGGTCCCGCGCGCTCTGCGCCGCCACGCGGTTCTTCAGCTTCCTGCGGAGAGAGGCGGCCAGGCTGTCAGCGGCCAGGCCCGTTTCCGGAGCCCCTTTCCCTCCCGCCCGCCCGCCTTCCCTGCTCCCCTCACCGGCGCAGCGCCTTCTCCTCGGGGCTGAGGTGCGCCAGGCGCTGCCTCTTGCGCGGCGGCGGAGACAAGGCCGCGCCGGGGGCGGGCGGCGCGGCTGCCGAGGAGGAGGCGGCGGCCGCCGGCAAGAGCAGCAGCCGCGCGTGGGGAGGCGGAGGCCCGCTTGCGGGGACCGGCAGGGGGACCATGGCGGCGGCGGCGGCGGCGGCTCCTTCCTCCTCCTCCTCCTCCTCCTCTCGGCGCGGCGGCTCCTCTCGGGTCCCTCTCGCTCCGGCGGACTGGCTCGCCAACAGACCCTTCCGCATAGCTAACGTCGTGGCTCGCGCTCATTGGTCAGCGTGCGGCGACGCCGCCGCAGGGAGAGCGCTCATTGGGCAGCTGGCGGTTGCGTCAGCCGGAGGAACTGCCCGCGCTGCGCATGTTCCCTCTTCTCGCCCTTCCCCCCAACCAGCGCCACGTTGGCCGCCCTCGCCGCGCAGCCGCAGAAGCAACGCAGAGGGTGGACGTCTCTGCCCCGAGGCGCCTGCAGGAGCGGGAGGGGAGCCTGGCTGCGGGGGGATGAGGCCGCCGCGGGCTCCCCTCGCCCAGCGCCCCTCTGCGGAAGAGCCTCGCTCGCAGCCGCGGTTCCGCAGCCTTCGCTGCCTCTGGCCCTGGAGCCTTGTCCGCGGAGGCGCTTCGTGGTCCGACCAGGGAGGAGAGCTTCGCCGCCTCGGCCCCCGCCCTTCCAGCTCCCAGGGCTAGGGAACATTTTGCACTGTCTCTCATGTCCCTGTTACTCCTCCTGGCTCTAAAGTCAAAAGTTCCCGAAGCTGCCGGCGTCCTTCACACAGGAGTTGTTCCGTCCCTTCTCCTGGGAGAAGCCCTTCTCGAGGCAGCGGGTGAGCCTGAGCCCAGAGCCAGGCGCCTTGTGGAGATGGGGAGCGCTTACCAGGTGGGCCCTCCCTCCTCTCCCTATGCTTTGTGGAGAGAAAAGCACCCTTGCCCCTCTTCCGGGCCCTCCTTGCATACAGTTCTGCAAACTGCAGAGGGGGCACTGTGCCCTTCTTCAGCATGCCATTCTGGCCCTGCACACCAGTGGCGTAGCGTGGGGGGGTGCAGGGGGGCTAGGCGCAACATCTGGGGGGGGCGCGCTCGCACTCGCAGCTCTCTGCCCCTACTAAAATCCACGGGTTAGGGGGCGCAAATTACTTGCCTTGCCCTGGGTGCTGACAACCCACGCTACGCCACTGCTGCACACAACAGCTACTCTGCCATGCACCCCTCTCACAGGGGCAGCGATGGCAACAGGGACTGATTGCAGTAGGCAGAGCTCAGTGGGGTGGCTGGATTAAGCCAGAAACAGATGGAAGGTAGCAAAGGAGAAAATCAAGTGAGGCTTTTCCACCAGCTCCCTTGAGGGGCTAGCAATTGTCTTTGGCTCTCCTTCAACTTGTTCTCCAAGATCTTTGGCTCTCCTTCAGCTGTCACCTAGTGACAACTATGTATCATGACTAGGATCAGTGGTTCTCGGAGGGTATGGCACTCCGCACTGCTGTGGCAGGAGAGGATGGCAAGCAATCAGTGAACTTAACAGCCTCATACAGGAACATCTTGCAACATGGTAGGAAGGATTTAGGACTTTGCATCACTGTCTACATAAAATTTTGACTGGCTTATAGACTCCTTTGCAAATCGCAGCTGTTCAGGATGAGGCAATGACATCCATTTCCAATGATTGCACCTTGAAAATGTCACTGGACTCTTTTTGGATATACAACCAGAAACAGTATCCAAACCTCTGTTCAAGACCACTGACTATTCTTCTACAGTCTCTCCACGACATAGCATGAACGGGGATTTTCAGTTCTGATACATATGAAAGATCAGAAAAGAGAATGGCTTCTTTGTGTTTATGAAGGGATCAGAGTTTGTCTCAAATTACACCTACCAGTAATATAAATGAGATTTTCCAGCAAAAGCAAGCTCACACCTCTCATTGAGTTTGTATACATATTTAAGGCACATAGGTAAGGGGCTCATTTATAATTATATTTTGGGAATGATTCATGGTCTTATGTAGCCGCATTGTTTTGTACTTTCTGGCTGTCCCATGGTCATATAAAGTAGTTGTGTTCTACTTTACAAATCAAGGACTGCTACTTGTAGGTTTTTCCAATAAAAACATTTGGTGTGGCATGAGCAAATTTTTGAGAAAAAAGTTTGAGAACCACTGACTTAGATGGTAAGCTTGAGAGCAATGACTGACTCTCTAATTGCACTGAAGAGTGGGATAAACAGACTTTAAAAGAGAAAAACAGTATCTAGGGGAAGTGAATTAGCAAAGGAAGCGGAGAGACAGGATGAGGATTTCACTTAAGTGTGGAGGGAAGGGAAGAAAGAAGCATTTTCTCTCCTCCAGATTAGGTCTAGGTTTTCTGGGAGGGGAACTAGGCAAGAAGATGACACTCAGAGGAGCTGTCCCCCCCTTTTTTAGTTGCTCATGAAACAGGGCAAGTAAAGCATTTAAAATTTCTCCAAGCAGAGCCATTGGATTTATTTTTTAATTTTATTTATTACATTTGTATGCCACCCTTCATCTGAAGATCACAGGACGATTTACAACATAATACAGGCACACACCCGACGTGTGCATTCTGCTTGCGCATGACCATGTATACATATGGTGCTGGGAAATAATAAATAGAATCATACCAGGAAATGGCGGAAGAGAGCTATAGATTCCTCATGGGTTTTGACGAGCAGGGCTTTGACGAGGCTGCACAGCCCTCTCCTCCCCCACCTAACAGCTGACTTGCAGGGTAGTGCAGCAGCAGCAGCTGCCATTTTCCCGTGAATCCTCTGGCCTTCTGCCGGCCCCAGAGCTTCAACTCTAGATATTTTGGTCTGGATTGGAGAGAGCAGAAGAGAGAGCTGGACAGTAGTAAAAAAAAAAAAAAAAAAGACATTTAGTGGCTTTTTAGATGGAGCTCCCCATTTTACGTGATTTCACTTATGCACATGGGGGGCTGGCTGATAGGACAACTGCAATTCCCCAGGTTGGAGGAGGGGCTGGCACACGGCACAGTCACTACCTTCCTGCGCCATGTGTGCCCCTTTCCCAGCCTGCCCCCCAACATACCTTTCCCTACCTTTGTAAGGCATAAAGGCAGATGCAGCCACCAGCTCCTATGGTGGCATTTCAAATGAGTTTCTGTTTTGTGGGTGGGATTCAACTGAATGCCGGCAAATTCAGGTTACTCTTGCACAACAAAATCAGCCTTCTTTGCAATACATAAAGTGATCCCTGGACAGTGTGGAATAATGACTACTTGTTGTGTCATCACCATATAACTTCCTCACAGACAACTTGGAATGAGTGCTCAATAAACAGCCTATGTTGTGATATAATCTCCCCACAAACTTTGTGCAAGAAAATCAGATGGAATGCTAAATAAACTGGCTGTCTAGATGTGGCGATGATGGGACAGTACCCACCAAAGCAAATATGGATCCTCCTGGGAGCATTTGGGGGTGAAGCACCTAATAAGTGAGCAGCCACAATCCCATAGGTTTTCAGCAGCTGCTGGCCAAAAGAAACTGGGCACATTTAAAAACATAACAAAACTGAGTGACAATTTCAGTAAGAAGAGACTCAGTTCAGCCTGGACCGCTCCCTCCCTCCCACAGTATGTTGCAGAGTCATTAGCATCCTGTGTCACTTTGTCTGAGACACAGCGTGCATCAGGATTCTTCCTGGGCTGCAGAAAGTCAAGTCTTGGAAATGTAGTCATTGGGAGCCTGGCCACATGTCCCAAAGGGAATAGTTTCTTGGCAAGCCCTTGGAGCAGCAATTGCCAGGGAAGGCCCATTTTTCAGAGTTCAGCTTTCCCTCTTCACAGGAAGCGCCCACCAGGCAGGTCACATCCAGAAAGGACCTCATAGCAGTCAGCTGTGTGTGCCTGCCCTTGAGCATTTTGGACAGGAATGATTCTTCCTGCCCCTGCTGAAGGACTGGCCAACTGCTGCCCTAGAGTCCCCAGACAATAGTAAAGTCTTCTCTCTGTGGTGGACCCAGCCTCATCTTCTTCAAGGTTTGTAGCAAAAAAACTCCGCATTGCTACTGCCATGTCTGAACTGCACCTACCATCAGGCACTTCTGTGAAGGATGTAAAAAATCAGTGATGAGCGGCTTATTCCATTAAGGGTCACTTCCCATCTTCCAGTACAGTGGTACCTCTTACAAACTTAATTCGTTCTGGAGGCCCGTTCTTAACCTGAAACTGTTCTTAACCTGAGGTACCACTTTAGCTAATGGGGCCTCCCGCTGCCGCTGTTCCAGTGGCACACAATTTCTGTTCTCATCCTGAGGTAAAGTTCTTAACCCGAGGTACTACTTCCAGGTTAGCGGAGTCTGTAACCCGAAGTGTTTATAACCTGAGGTACCACTGTACTTGGAGCATTTCCACCATGCCAACATTGCTACCATTATACTCCTTAAATAGGGTTGCTACTGCTATCAGTTATTGAAGGAAACTGCCTTCTTTCTTTCTAGCCTCAGAGGTGCATTAGATTTGGCCATTTTGTGTCTATCAGGCCTCTGGGGAAGAAGGCTGAGGGTCTGAGCTGACAGGCACTCCTTCTCTGCTGCCTCAGGCTGGCTGTGCTCCAAAGGCAGCTGGTTGAACCGGCTATCATGGGAAACTGCCTTACAGATCTTGGCAGTCTCCCTTCCCGTAAGCTGCTGCTTATTTGCATATCCTGGTTTGGAGCAGGAACTCCTTCCTGTAACTACCTGTGAAGTCCGGGTGCTGCTCACCTCTCGCTTGTTGAGGGAAGAGCTGGGGTGGAGAACAAACAAAAGCCACTTGCTGATCCAAAGCCTGCCTGCCTTTCTTATGCTGCCCAGATTGTCCTTGCCTTGAAGCAACTGAGCTACCTCCCCAGCCCAGGGGAGAAGAGGAAAAGCCATGCAAGGCAGGCAGGCAGATGGTCCTCTCATTGGAGCAATCAGGCCAGGCGCCTTTTCAGGGTCCAGCTCCACACGGGGTCTTTGGGAGATTTCATTTGCATATGGACACATGGGCTTGAGCGGGCTACTTTTGCCACTCTTTTTCTGAACAGGCTGTTGCCAAGCCAGTCATGCGGCTGTTCTCAACTCTACAGCATAACTTCCAAAACTAGAGCATTGGAAGCCAAAGAAGACTGTTTCTCCACCACCCACCTGAATTCCACAATGTCTGACTGAGGCTTCTGAGGGAAAGGCTCTTTGCGAATGCCCAGGGGAATTATATTATGTAAAGGGAGAAGGCAAAGGTGAGCCCTGCCTTGAGCCTTTCTTGTG